AAAAATCTGATCAAGCTAAAGTCCCCTTTGAACCAATTCTGGTTTCTTCTACAAAGAAAATCATACTTATGAATTTGGTATATATTTTTTTAAACTCTTATTTTATGTTTTTATATATCTTAATATGTAAGTGCATTTTTGTTGTTGATTTTTTATAGGGGAACGTGTTAAAACTAAGTGGTAGCATTTGGTGCCTGCAACTAGTTCTTCTAGCTTTACAATATATGTTGGGATCTATCAACTTTGGTGTGTGTGTATACATGCACATCTTCAGTGATTCTCAGTGGAAGGAGGGGGTTGTGATTGACATCATGAACAAGATAATTCTTGGTTCTTCAAGACTGTATCATTTGTAGGATGTTAAGCATCCCTGACACCCTCTCACAAAATAACAATAGCACCCCACCTCCCTGCCCTCATTATCTGGCAACCAAAAATATGCTCACGCCTTTTCAAACACTTCTGATTAACTTTTTACATAATCTCATCCTTTTAGCACTCAGCTTTATTTATAATCTCCATGTTGATGGACATTTAGGATGACTCTAGATTTTTTACTCTTACAAACAATTCTGCAGTGAACACCCTTGTTCATATTTTCTTCTACTCACGTGTGGGTGTTTCACTAGGTGGAAACTAGAAGAGGAATCACTGGTCATATGTGCAGGTTCAGTTACACCCTATGTGCTAAATTCCCCTCCAACTTAGACCCTTATCAACAATGGACAATAATAGCCATTGCCCAAATTCTCCAATACTTAATACTATCTAACCCTTTCATTATAACTGATCTGGTGGATAGAGAAAAATATCACATTATTGTTTCAATCTGCATTTCTCTGATTAACAGTGAGATTATTTATTTGAAACACATCTTTCCTCTTCTGAAAAACACATATACTTTCTCTTCTTTACATGTGTATATTTTGATTTTTACTATATATCCTTTATAATCAGAATAAAAGGTAATACACACTTAAAAAAAAAAAAAACAGGTTATCTTTCAAGACCTATACAGATGTTGGCTCATTCATGGAATCTGATTTTGATCCTTCTTCTCAGAACATCCCTTGGGTACTTTATTCTCTCTTGAATATCGTTTGCAATATGCTTGTCTTATCCTCCTGACTAGATTAATGGTTACTTGTCACCCAGTATGTGGCTTTTTCATTTTTGTTCCCTTTGACCTGCTTAGCACAATGCCTTGCATGGATTTGAAGCAATGATTGAAGGCAGAAAAGGTTGATTATGCGAAAACTACCAACTTAACTCTATTTTTAACTTTTATGGACACAGTCTTGAGTCATCCTTATCAAAACTGGACATATTTCTACAAAGGATACACAATGTCATTAGGATATATATTCACTCCCCTGGAAGAAATGATCATCAGAATGTTCCTGGAAAGGAACGCTTAACTCAATTAAAAGGGGAAGTTTAGGTTTTTATGGAAAAGCTATTTGGGGAATGAAGATCCTTATTGCACCGTTGACATCATGGAATGTAGGTGGCTGCCTGGAAAGCTCTATACTGGGCTTGTACAGGCCCTGGAGTCTGTAGAATCCTGAAAAGGCAATATTGACTCAAGCAAAGCTGCCACCAAGGAATTGCAGTCTCCAAGATTTTTCCAGACTGCAGCATAGTGTGATTCTTCCTGCATTATATTCAAGTATTTCTTATGTATTTATGGTATATAGTTATTGTTTTTTAAGTTATCATTAAAACATTATTAGTAAAAACTGTTATCAGGCTATATAACTAGATGTCAGAAGAATTCTATAAATGCTTTAAACAAAAACTTCCAATTCTATTGAAAAGAATCCAAAGGAATGTCCAAATCCTTTAAATGTTTTGGAATTTTGTGAATCAAATATTGCTTTAAATAAACAATCTACTGGCTCAAACTGAAACATATGCTGAAATGTTTATTATAAAATTAATTATTGGCAAAATATATCTAAGTTTTAATAACCTTGTAGAAACTCCACCTATCAAAAAGAATTAGAATTTTGGCTTCAGTTGAACTTGAAGTTTATTATTGCTTCACTTACAATTCTTCCAATTGTTCTTTGAAAGCATTTTGTAGTGAACAGATTTGAACTTGTCTGGGAATCAGTTCAATGAATGGAGCTTCTTTGGGTAAATAGCTCTGTGATTATTCTTATAAAATGTGTTTCATGCCATTGCTTTCAGCTAGCAAATATATTTCTAATACAGGATGAAAGCATCTCTGCCCCAAAGATAAAATATGCTAAGAAACATGCATTAGGAAATGCAGATTTAGAAAATAGGTATCTTGGAGACTTATATAGAAACTTCCTTCCACAGATGCACTTACGTTTACTCTTTATTACTCAGGCTAAAATTTTATGCCACAGAGATGTCACAGTGGATGCCAGTGTGGTTCGTGACAGCAAGATCCCTTAATGCCAGAACAACGCTATTCCTCAAAGCATTTGTACACTATACACACCTCTTTAATAGCATTTAGTTCATCACCTAAACTGTGGTCCCTAGCAGTCAGCAACTGCCTCTGCTATCTAGCTTTCTGTTATCTAATCTAAATAAAAAGTAACAAAAATTATATTTGAGCAATAAGAAAATCATGCCACAGAGAGTAAACTGAAAGCTACGGCTTTGTGGATCTCAATGGCTTCCTGGTAGCAATTAATGCATACTAAGCACAGGCTTTATGGAGCACATCACCCATGTTAATGTGTGCAGGACTCACAACTGGCCTATGCGGTATGCCTATTTGTCATACTATTTTATTTATTTATTTATTTTTTTTGAGACGGGGTCTCACTCTGTCTCCCAGGCTGGAGTGCAGTGGCCCGATCTCGGCTCACTACAACCTCCGCCTCCCGGGTTCAAGCGATTCTCCTGCCTCAGCCTCCTGAGTAGCTGGGACTACAGACATCCGCCACCACTCCCAGCTAATTTTTGTATTTTTAGTAGAGACGGGGTTTCACCATATTGGCCAGGTCTCGAACTCCTGACCTTATGATCTGCCTGCCTTGGCTTCCCAAAGTGCTAGGATTACAGGCTTGAGCCACTGCGCCCGGCCTTGTCATACTATTTTAAACATGAGGAACCAAAGCTCAGATTGGTTAAGTACATGTCCAAGGCCATACAGCTAGTAAGAGGTACCAACTGGATTGGAACCCAGGCAAAGCAACCCCCGGGGCCACAATCCTAATCATCACGTTTGTATGCCTCTATGACATCGTTTAAAAGAATGTGAATGACCTGTCATTGGAGAAAAGAAAGATGGTGCAGAGCAATATGCCTAGAAAATAAAAATAATAAATAATGCTCTTATGTTTGTAGAATCAGGAGTGGAGGTACACACCCAATGCCTCTAGAAGTGTAGACGGTCTTTTTTTTTTTTTTTTTTTTTTTTTTTGAGATGGTGTCTCGCTCTGTCACCCAGGCTGGAATGCAGTGGTGCGATCTTGGCTCACTGCAAGCTCCGCCTCCTGGGTTCATGCCATTCTCCTGCCTCGGCCTCCTGCGTAGCTGGGACTACAGGCACCTGCCACCAGACCTGGCTAATTTTTTGGTATTTTCAGTAGAGATGGGGTTTTACCGTGTTAGCCAGGATGGTCTCAATCTGACCTCGTGATCCTCCCACCATGTGTAGACTATCTCTTAAGAGGAAGCACAGGAAAATGGTTACCATGGTGTCCTCTAGGAAAGGAGCAGGGAGCCTGAGGGCCAAGGGTGAGGAAAACATATTTTGCTATGTCTCCTTTTGGACAATTTGGACTTTTTTTTTTTTTTTTTTTTACCATAGATATATATTACCTTTTCTAAAACACAAAGATCAATTTGAATCTCCTTGTGGCATTCCCTAGCTCTTCAGATATTTGTCAGGCTGAAACAGTACTTGATGGCATTTACTTCATACTATAATTGCTTCCATCCAGCTTCGTTTCACTCATGACAATAGACTTTAGTATTATAGCTCAGAGGTTTCATCATGAAAAAGTACCAACTTGAAAAAGAGTGTGAGAAACCAAAAAAGAAAAAAGGAGGAGGCAATTTGTCAAAGCCTATTTTGACTTGGACTTTAAAAACCAATTCTGATTACAAAGCAACACTGTATTAGTTTGTGAGGTCTGCTATAACCAAGAACCACAGCCTGGGCAGCTGACTATAAGAAATTGATTGCCTCACAGTTCTGAAGGCTCAAAGTCGGAAATCAAAGTGTCAATAGGATTGGTTCCTTCCAAGGGCCGTGAGGGAGAATCTATTCCAGTTCTCTTCCCGTGGCTTGCAAGTGACTGTCATGTTCATGTGGTGTTCTCCCCATAGGCAAGTCTGTCTCCTGATTTTCCCTTTTTACAAGAGGAAACCAGTCATATTGAATTAGGGTTCACCCTAATGACCTATTTTTTTTTTTTTTTTTGAGATGGAATTTCACTCTGTTGCCCAGGCTGGAGTGCAATGGCATGATCTTGGCTCATTGCAACCTCCGTCCGCCAGGTTCAAGCGATTCTCCTGCCTCAGCCTCCCGAGTAGGTGGGATTACAGGTGCCTGCCACCATGTCAGGCTAATTTTTGTGTTTTTAATGGAGACGGGGTGTCATCATGTTGGCCAGGCTGGTCTCAAACCCCTGACCTCTAGTGATCTGCCTGCCTCGGCCTCCCAAAGTGCTGGAATTACAAGCGTGAGCCACCACACCCAGCCATGGCCTCATTTTAACTTGGTAAAGACCCTGTCTCCAAACAAGGTCACATTTTGAGGTACTGGGAGGTTAGCCCTTCAACATAAGAACCTTCAGGACACAATTCAACCCATGTCACACTACTACTAGTCAACTCCGTGCTCTCCTTTCAACCCCACCCAGCAATTTCCTTGTCCTGATGTTGAGAGGTGAATCTCTGGGCTACTTATCTTGAAGAATGTTGCTAGCTAATCTTTGCGAGGAAAAGCCAGTGCAGGGGAGTCATGCCATGGTTTGGCCTGAGTGAAAGCGCTGTTCCCTCTTTTCTAGGTGGTATCACGGCAACCTCACGCGCCATGCTGCCGAAGCTCTTCTCCTCTCAAATGGGTGTGACGGCAGCTACCTTCTGCGGGACAGCAATGAGACCACTGGGCTGTACTCTCTCTCCGTTAGGTAAGGTGCTTCAGGGCTCTATGACTTCAGCATGGGCTCCTCTGTCACTTACTGACTTTATCATCACTCAAACTGTCAGATAGCAAAACTTCCCAATTCCTGTTAGACCACCAAGTTAAAGGATTCCAAACTCTAAATGATAAAGGTATAAAAACATTCCTGCTCCATTCATTAGCAGGAAAAAAATTGTTAGAGCTGGAGGAGACATGAGGAATTATTTGATACAAACCTTTCATGGGGCTGTTGAAGAATCTGAAGCCCAAAGCGGTGGAATGTCTGGTACCCCAAAAATCAACAATAGAAACAGTGCCAGAATCCAGATTCCTGACACCTGGCTGAGTGCCCTTTTCACATTCCCTGATTTATCTGTAAATGCAGAATGGATTTATGACTGTACAGCTTTCATAGTCACAACCTCAAGCAGGTAATATGCAACTTTACAATTTTTCCTATAGTGGGCTAACTTTTCTTATTGAGTCTCCATTTCTCCCAAATGGTAAGAAAGTTAATCCAGTCCCCACCAGGTTCATCCAGGCAATTGCAATCATTGTCCAGACCTTTCAGGTCCTCCCCACCCCACACCCGCTTCTTCCTGGCTGGCACCCCAGATCAGAGAGGCTGACCGAGCTTCTGGTAGTCAGAGGAGGTGGCTGGTTCTCAGCCAGGATCTGACAGTCTGCCTTCCACTGACATGTAGCAAGTTTTCTTGGGTTCTTAGGCACTTCTCCATGGATTAGGCAGGGGATGTGAGGACTCCATGAAATTTCCCTCAGCCACCCACCCATTAAGCTCAAACTGTTATTGTGTTACCGTTCTGATGGCACTTCCATATCCCATGGAGAGTCACTCTTCCCTTCGTAGTGCAGTCCCTCAAGCTAATCTGGCCTCAGAGGCTCTCTCACTTCTTTCCCACTCTGCACGGTCACTACTTGTCACTAACTCAGTAGCAGCATTCACACTCTGTCTTTGGGCTCCGGGCCTTGCCTCTATATTCATTTTCTATGCTACATAACAAATTATCAAAAACTTAGGGACTTAAAGTAACACAACTTGATTATCTCAGTTTCTGGCTGGATTCTCTGTCCAGGTCCTGCCAGGCTGGAATAAAGGTGTTGGAGAAGGTTGTGGCTCTGATCTGGCATTTAGTGTCTTTTCCCTTCATTTTCTCCTTTCCTCTTCATTCTTTTTCATCCATTCCCTTGCTGCCGTAGAACTGAGGTCCTCATTTTCCTTTTAGCTGTCAGCCAGAGGGGCATTCTCAACTCCGAGAGGCCACCCACAGTTCTTTGCCACATGGCCCCATGGCTGTTTACCACATCGGTGTTTGCTTTCTTGCATGCCAGCCAGAAAACACCTCCCTGACTTTTTCTTCGATGAGCAACCAGAGAAAACTCTCTGTTTTACAGGGCTCATGTGATTAGTTTCAGGCCCACTCAGATAATGTCCATATCTTAACATCAACTGACTTGGGACTTTAAGGACCTGCAAAATCCCTTCCCAGTAGCATGTAGACTAGTTTTGGATTGAATAATTGGCATAAAGTGTGTACTCCATGGGCTGGGACTTGAGGTCATCTTAGAATGCTGCCTGCCACAGCTCCCATTCCTGGAACAGTGAAAATCTACAGGCCTACTTGAAGTGGGTGTGCGATATAGGTAGAGGGTGATGGGATAAGTAGGGCTCACAGAGGAGAAAAAAGCATATTCATTAACATGTCACCCTGTTATATTTTATTTATACATTTTCTGAATAACATAGAGGAAAAACTTATTAATCCAAGATGGAATTCTGTTTGAGTGGCAACAAGAATTGTGCTTTCTCTGCTCAACAGCAAATGTCAAAAGTCCATCTAATGGTTAAGTTGTAGATGCTTTATTGCATACACCAGAGGTCCCCAACATTTTTGGCACCTGGGACAATTTTTCCACAGACCGGGGCAGCAGCAGATGGTTTTAGGATGATTCAAGTGCATTACATTTATTGTGTGTTTTATTTCTGTTATTATTACACTGTAATGTATAATGAAATAATTATACAACTCACCGTCATTCAGTATCAGTGGCAGCCCTGAGCTTGTTTTCCTGAAACTAGATTGTCCCATCTGGGGGTGATGGGAGTCAGTAACAGTTCGTCAGGCATTAGATTAACATCAGAGGCACACAGCCTAGATCGCTTGCATGTGCAGTTCACAACAGGGTTTGCGCTCCTATGAGAATCTATTGCCTCTACTGATCTGACAGGAGGTGGAGCTCAGTGAGAATGCAAACAATGGGGAGCAACTATAAATACAAATGAAGCTTCACTAGTTCACCCATCACTCATTTTCTTGCTGTGTGGCTGACAGGGGGATGGATGGGGACCCCTGGCATGAATCTTCCAAAAATGAAAAGTTAATTAACTTTTCACCTATGTATGTCTCATATGAGCAATTAGATCATAAGCTTTTTATAAATCAATGAGGTATATTTCATATACATAAAGAATAAATTATTGATTTTCGTTACAAGCACTAGAGAATGCTTATATTAAAAAAATGACCAGCAGAGGTGACAAAAACCACGGACTAATTCAGGAGAATGACTATTTTTGTTTTATGAACAAATATTCACTTATTTGTTCATTCTTTTACTGATGAATATTTGAAAGCATTGATTCTGCACCAGCCACTTTGGTAAGTGCTGTAGAACAGTGGTCCCCAACCTTTTTGGCACCAGGGACTGGTTTTGTGGGAAATGGGGGTTCAGGATGAAACTGTTCCACCTCAGATCATCAGGCATTAGATTCTCATGAGGAGTGTGCAGCCTAGATCCCTCACATGTGTTCACAATAGGGTTCAGGCTCCTGAGACTCTCATGCCTGATCTGACAGGAGGCAGAGCTCAGGCGGTAATGCTCACTCACTGCTCACCTCCTGCTGTGCGGCCTGGTTCTTAACAGGTACGCAGTCTGCAGTCCCAGGATGGGGGACCCCTGCTGTAGAAGATTCAAATACCTTATTTTGGGGAATTATAGCCTCACAGAGCCAAAAAGACCACATACAAGTAACATACTACAAAGTAGAGGTTGAGAAATAACATACAAGAAAGCAAGATAAGTGTTTAGGTGGTTCAGAAGAGAAAAAGCAATTAACTTTAAGCTGGAATTATCATGTAATACTTGACAGAGGAGGTGGTACTTGAACTGCAACTTAATGAGTGGCTGGGATTTCTACCAGTAGAGACAAAGAGAAAGACTGTTTCAGGAAAAAGGAACAGTGTGAACTAAGGGACAGAAGTGGAAACTCCTTGAAGAGCAGTAGGTCCAGTTGGACTAGGGCAGCAGTTCTAAAGGTGTGGTCCCCAGACCAGGTGTGTCACCTAAGAACATGCTAGGAATGCACAGTCTCAGGCCCCACCTTGGATCTACCAAATCTGAATCTGCAGGGGTGGAGGTGGAGGTGGCAGCAAGCTGGGTTCTCACAAGCCCGTCAGATGATTCTGATGCATGCTAACGTTGTAGCATGGGCTGCACTGAGAGGAATAGCAGGAAGTGAGGCTAGAAAGATAGAATGGGGTCAAATAAAGTGGAGAGGCAGATATATATATATATATTATTTAATATTCTGCTCATTTCAAAAATGAAGTGGAAAATGACAACGTAGGAAATTTGATATTTTATTCAGTAGGCAGTGGAACATGCATGGGAGGAAAAGAGCTGGGCTCACATAACTAATCAAGCGACAGAGCTGAATTCTGATTGACTCCCAGACAAGCAAGGGAGAAAAGCCCAAGATGGAGGAGAGTGTGGCGAGGGTGTCGTACGTCATTTCTGTCATTCCTATTCTCTGCCCTTCTTAAACTCATGCCCCATTAACAGCATAATGTTCAAGGACTCTTTTGGTAAGTCTAGGAGTAGATAGGGAGAACAGTCCCTTGTCTTCCATTAGAGTAAAAAGTTGAGGCAGGGCGTGGTGGCTAACACCTGTAATCTCAGCTCTTTGGGAAGCCGAGGCGGGAGGATCACCTGAGGTCAGGAGTTCAAGACAAGCTGGGCCAACATGGCAAAACCCAGTCTTTACTAAATATGCAAAAATTAGCTGGACATCAAGGCAGACACCTCTAATCCCAGCTACTCAGGAGGCTGAGGCCAGAGAATCACTTGAATCCAGGAGGCGGAGGTTGCAGTGAGCTGAGATCATGCCACTGCACTCCAGCCTGGGCGACAGAGCAAGACTCTGTCTCAAAATAATAAATAAATAAATAAATAAAAGTCGAAAAGAGCACACTCTGCCAAAAGAAACTGGTGATGCTCTTTAAAATTGTCAGTGGTTTCAATGATTGTCTAATTCTCAGCTCTTAGAAAGGGTTAATAGTGATGCTAATATCTAAGATCATCTTTCCCTTCAACAAGGTATTTATTTGTTAAATAACATTAATTACTTATTTTTCCCTTTTAGGGCCAAAGATTCTGTTAAACACTTTCACGTTGAATATACTGGATATTCATTTAAATTTGGCTTTAATGAATTCTCATCTTTGAAGGATTTTGTCAAGCATTTTGCAAATCAGCCTTTGATTGGAAGCGAGACAGGTAAGCTATGAGCAGACATTTGACCTATGAAATATTATTTCGGGATGGAGGAGAAACAAGGCAGATTTCAGTTAAAGAATGTCATAGTTGTCATTTATATTTCAACATTATCTTGAGGAGAAAACAATGTACTTTGTATAAAGTAGATATTTTCTCAGAATGTGTTACTTAATGGATTGATTAAAAGCATTTCTTTAAAATGGGCTGTCCATTTAAAAATCACATACACAATACACACAAAAAGAAGAAAGGTAAAAATGACATTTTGATTACCCATAATTTCACGTATGGGCAGTTTGCACATGAGTGAGACCCACAGAAGTAAATTTTAAGCATTTTAAAAAATGAAAATTCCCACTTAAATGTTCACAGGGATCGCTGAATATTGAAAATATTGACTAGGAAGTGCTCTCCTGAGTTATAAAATTCTGTTTCTATTGTCACAGTTTTTTAAATAAGATTTTAAGCTAGACTTAATTATGGCTGGAAAAGTTTGAATTGTCCTGTTTGAATGGTAAGAGAATTAAAGCAGAAAATTCGTGTTTAAAGAATAAACACAAAAAACAGTCTGTCTTGGCACTTGAATTATCTAAGATTGAATATCTTGTTTATTTATATTATTTTAAAGAAGTAAATGTCATACCTGTATTTGTGATATAGAATCACAACACTTTTGTCCTAAATAATGATAAATCTCAGTTAATCAAAGACTAGGAAATTCCAAGAACCTGTGGCACAAGAGGAACTGAAGACTTAATAACACAACCGGTTACCATGAGTTTGAACATATGTGTTTTCTTGGCAAACTTGCCAGTGGGCTTTCTGTTAACTTCAGTGTGGTGGGAAGAGGTGGCATCATTGGCTTCTGTCTTTTCTGCTATTTATATGGCATGGATAGTCTCTGATGTGACTCAGACAGTGTCTAGTATACATGAAGTGCACAGTGGAAAACTGGAAAATCGTTGCTCTGCTTTATACTGACTACACCAAGCCTAAGACAGAATAATCCAAACTACAAACTGAAGTTATAACCTTTTTTCCCTTCTTTCTTCTGGTATATATTCTCCCAATCAACCTTGAAAATTACTTCACCATTTAACAAGCAGTTGTTCTCATGAACAAATGGCCAGTGGAGGTATATTTATTTCCATTGCTACCTTGGCCTTGGCAAGCATTTCAGTTTCTCAAATCCCTTCACTTCAGTCTCCTTTCCTACTTGCATCCAATTCTATACTTGATTTTGTTCAGTTATTGGTCACGGGCAATGGAGAGGAGATTTTTAAAGCCAGGGCTTTGTTTTGTGTACCTCTAATTTTTGTCTTTCATATCTGCCAGGTCCTGGCCCATTGCAGGGCATTTTGGGTGAATAAATAAATGAATAAATGGATAACTCTAAGTAAGAACTCTTTGTAGCCTTCGAAGTCACTAGAGTTGCCATTTTTCTGCTTTCTCTTTTTCCTCCAACCAAAGACAGCTCCCTTCTTTTAAACTCTTCTCCTAGGCTCTATTTTCAACTTCTTTGATCATTCCCTGTGCTCTTTCCTGACCTTCTCCAAGTTAGGGAAAAGATACATATTCTGCCTACTGGCAGATTTCAAAACATTTAAGATCAAAGTGAATGCAGTGCTTTCTGGTTGAACCTTTCTGGCACTGATCCAATCACTAGGCAAGAGGATCACCTAAGGATGCTCCAAAGTAAAGATGTTTTGATATTAGATTTGGGACAATGATAAGCTTCCTTGTAACTAACACTGTTCTGAGTAAAGAAGCCTTATGATTAATACATTAGGGATTGTAAGGATTTGTAATCCAGACTTCTACAGTAATTACTCTAAAACTCAAACTTGCTATATTATTATCTTGACTATAATTACCATTTTATTTATTACAATATAACTCAGGAACCTAATATTTTTATCCTCTCCACTGCCTCTCCTCTGTTCTACTCATTACTCAATGAAGAATTTGCTGCTGTTTGAATTCCTGCTTCCAGCCCCTGGTGCTGATGGATATGCACTTGACTTGCTAGCTTCCTGCCCTTGAGTTAGAGTCCGCTAGCTTTATTCCTCTTATCTGTCCCAGCCAGATGAAGGGAAAGCCATCAGGGCTAGGAACAACAGGCAAAACGCATGACAGATGAGTGTTCAAATCTTGCCCCTCTGGGAGTAATAGGCCTTGGGAAACAAGATAATGTGTTCAAGTCATGATGACTTGTAAGCCCAGAAAGTCCTCGAGGTTAGAGTCAGCATTGCAGACTATCAAGAATGGTGAATGGAGCCTGAGATGCCACCTTCTAAAAATAGGCCTTTTCTTCTTGTTCCTTTAAGCATGGGCTCCTAGTATTGGCTCCCAGTGATCAGCAGATCTTCAGGCTAATGATTTCATGTTCACCATTAGATGAAGTACGAATACTTCTTATAGTTTATGTTTGATTAACATCACCAGGAAAAGCATTTGTCCACACAATGGACAAGCCCCTCCCAGGGCTCTCAACTTCAGATTACCAGAATGAGAAGGACTAGAATTGGATATTTCAGGCCACTCCTGTCAGTCAGACCCAATGCAGGCCCAGCCTCACCCTGCAGGGCCTAGAGGGTAAGTTTATTAAAGAGAGACTTTCTTATAATACATTTATCTACCTTTGAGGGCAACATAAATGATATCCAAATAACCAAAACTTTACACTTTTGCCTTGCAGTTATATATAATGCCTTCAGTAGAGTGAAACCCAGAATATTTGATTCTGGGTCGTAAGAAAATCTTTGCACTCAAAATAGATAAAAGTGTTGACCTAAGGGGATTAATGCTATTTTAAGATATCTTTTTTTTCCTATTCCCTACTCTTTACACTTTTAGGATTTCTGTTTGCTAATCTGAAAAGCAAGGATTTCCTAAGCAACATCTAAGCCTCTTGCCAACTTTAAGAGTATGTTATGATAATTTCCCTTTCCCTTGTCATAATCTCTATTTCATCCCTCTAATCTCCATTAAAGTTTCTGTTCACTCTAATTTCTTTTTATCAATACTCATAAACACTCTTAAGATACTTCCAATTGTCAAAACCTAATAATTTCCTGAGTACATGATAGAGATATACAATGTACTCTCTTGCTTTATTTTTCTCAATGGCCCTTTTACCTTCTGACATATATAATTCACTTATTTTTTAAAAAATACTTCTTTTTCCACACTAGTCTGGAAACTCCATGAAGAAAGGGATTTTTGTCAGCTTTGCTTCCTGCTGTGTCCCAGGACCTGAAAAAATAAGTACTAATCATGTCCACAATATGTCAGATGCCCCATTCCCAATGCCTGCATTGCAGTTTTTTATGGCAACACCAAAACTAGCAAACTTGTGACAATTTTAACTTTCAAAGTTTATAAAAGCATAATTTGAAACGATGTTTTGTGTTGCATGTATGCTCAGTGATGATTAAATTCAGAATTTGCCTTTCATTTGTGATAGTGTTGCAGTACTTTTCCTTAGTTCAGCTAAAGATTGGGTCCCTCTCCATCCCACAGACACAAAAATTTAGGCTTGCAGATGGTTTGAAGGGTGAGTGAAGCAGGGTTTTCTTGGATGAAAAGAAAGAAAAGAGGGCCTAGCCAGGATCCCTGCTAGAGCGCTGCCTGCCGAACAGTTTGAATTCTATGTTCCTCACAGGAAGAGGAAGGGCCAGGCTCCTCCCCGCTGCAAAGGGCACGGACTTCCTAAGGCTCCACCTCAGTGGGCAGGCAGGTTGGAGTTTTTCTGTCTTAATAGTAGGATATCAAATAAAACATATTCATGTCTGTGCACGAACTCTAAACTAAACTCAAATAGATTTGAAAATTTGAGAAACTTTTTTATTAGTATAAATATGTTTGGTCCATTATTAATTTTGTCATATTCTCTTGTAATTAGCTAAGTTTCTCATATATAGTCTTGAAAATGTGGATGGCATTTATCTTTATGCTTAAATGTCTAAATATGATTAGAACAAAAAAATTACTTTTACCATTACCTTTTGTTTATATTTCAATAATTCTTAACATGAAATTGCCATGTACAATTTATTATATTGTGTTGTGACTGTAATCACCTAACTGGCATGCAAAAGTATAATACAAGTTAAGTTCTATGTTTGTGCTTATCCTTTATAATAATTGGTTCTCAGTGTTAAAGGTGTCATCTTATTTTTTTTGTAAATGTCAAATCTCCATTTCTCTTTTTGTTTTGATATGGGGATTCCCAATCTTTTGACGACTGCTACTGCTATTATTATTTAATTTTGTGACACTACCCAGGTGGCATTTTTAAATAATGCGGTTAAAATTAATTTTAATTTGAGAACTGGGTGATTCTTCAGAAAACAACTAGTGACAGCTTAGAATTTTGCCAAACTTCTTTAGTTTATGTTTGCCAAAAATACAAAATGTTCTCAGTTGATAGATGAGTTTTGTTTGAAAAAGGAAAAAGCAGCTGAGAAGGGAATTAAGGCCAACATTTTTAGTGTTTGCTAGTTTCCAGGCATTCACCTACATCAACTTATTTCATCTCAACCACCCACAATAATGCATACAACGGTCTATTTGCAGATGAGGAAATGAAAACTCAGAGGTTATAAGTTACTTGCCCAAGTTTTTACTGCTGGTAAACATTAGGGCTGAGATTGGAATCTGGGCTAATCTGGTTCTAAAGCATAGATGCTTTCCATGCACCTTGCTATCTTCTGAAACTGGTCCCACAGTAGCAATACATTGTTGCCATGGTACAGCATGGCCTTAAATGGATTTAGAAGAATTCAGAGCTGATATTGGAATCTGGGCTAACCTGGTCCTGAAGCATAGATGCTTTCCACGCACCTTGCTATCTCTTGAAACTCGTCCCACAGTGGCACTGCAATACATTGCTGCCATGGCACAGCGTGGCCTTAAATGAATTTAGAGGAAGTCTTGCCACAATAATATAATAGAATGATTGTAGGATATGGTCGGGCTATAACACGTGTCTTAGTCCT